TTAAGAAGGCATTGCGGAGTAGGCCGTGGGGTTTTGAGGCTTGTCATGGTATAACTAGACTAAGGAAGTCCCCAAATTGTACTGGTAATGACTTTGGACCCAATATTCGCCTTGGGGTTTGGGCTTTGGTTTAAGGCTCGGCGCGTAGGGCTTAGAGTCTGGATGTTCGGGTCTTGGACTTGCTGTATGGTGCTTGGGATTCAGGATTTGGAGGGGAGCGAAGGTTGGGAATCGAAATGCCAAAGGTGAGTGAGGGAATGCCTTAGACAGGTTGCCCGGTAGAACATATTGAATTTCATGCGACCTTTGCATTCACGCAATCCTGGAAAGGAAGTGCACATGGGCATGTAGAATTTGTAACTCTGTAATGACGGAACAACAGCTTCTCAACATCAAGCCACACACCCTCAACTCCACGTTTGATCAAAATTGAACATACGCCGCAGTCATGCATGAGCATGCTACACTCCCGCGACCTATACAGGTCACAAGAACAGTCCTAAACCCTACACCGCTAAGACTTAAAATGAACATCGTTTTTTAATGTTCTTGATATTTTGAGAATCAGCATTGGCATCGGCATTACCTATGTTTAACAGTATTGGGGCAAATATGTCCTGTAAAAGCGTTACTTTTGCCATGAATACCGAAATTGTCACGGCTGTATTACAAGCACTGTTAATCATTAAGTGTACAGCGTCTAAAACACATTCTCATATCCAAAGTAGTGATAAGCTTAAGCTAGTTCACACTGCACCAGACACGCCCTAAACTCCAAGATCCTGAACACGACAAGTCTGGAAGCCAGAAGAAAAAAGCCTCCGACGAGGAGGCAGAAGGATATCCACCCTCCTTCGACTTTGCTTGCTCCTCGTCTTTCTTCTCCTTGCCAAAGAAGGAACTACGGACTCTCATTGTTTAGTGTTTAGGACATTCAGGATTCAGAGAAACCCCACTCTCCACTGCCCCTCAAGCCTGCGGGCTTGGAGGATAGACTTGGGAGTTTCCGAAAACAGGGGACCCTAATATAGTACCTTAAATAATAGGATCCTTATTATAAGGACCCCAAAATAAGGTACCTCTAATTTTCGGAAACTCCCACTTTAGCTGAGGTCTCGTGGAGGCTTGGTGCTACGCTGCTACACTGCCCGCTCAGATTCATCCAGCCGATGTCGGGAGAGTTCCTGGGCTTAGACTTCTGGCTTTGCAACCCTCGGCTCTAAAATCGAAACCCTGAACCCAAAGAGGGCATTGGGTCGAAGTCTGGGGCTATCCAGGGCCTCGGCAGCAGGTGGGTCTTCTTCCGCTGGCTTCGGCTGTTCCTCGTCTTTCTTTTCCTGGTCTTTGGTTCAGGTTTCGGAGTGAGGCTATAGGGCATTTTGTTCCAATCTACGGGCCACAATTTAGCATGGGGTTCGAAGTACAACATACCAGAACTGTATAATATATGGACTATGAGGTGGTACCAGTTTGACCCTACGGTAATTCCCAAATTCCGCATCCAAGATTGACGTGGACGGATTAAAGGTATATGTGCCAGCCAGGTACCGCTCCCAATACACTTGCGTACCCAGTGAATCATTGCCGTGATAAATCATCAACTTCAAAGAAGACCCTAAAGCCAAACAACCAACACCAGTAGAGCAACCAAAAGAAGCCGGTCCGCTCGACCTTCTCGCAAGCTCGTATGTTGGTCTTGTTCAGTGTTATCCTGTGTGCTGTAGGATTTCGTATTCAAACGACAAGATGCAGCCCTAAAGCCGTGCTACCCTTTGATTGCGTTTTGGAAGCAATGGACTTGTTAGATCCCAGCAAACATGACAATTGTACGTGTATGGAACGAAAGTACTCTGTGTCACTGAAAAATGACTTGAACAGCACGCGTCGAAAATGCATCAGGCACGAAATCAAACTGCATCACATAGCCAGTGGACTTAAACTGGTCACATACTGCACTGCAACAGCGTATCTGTATAGGGGCGGTATCCGCCCTTTGTTATGCAGGGCATCACATTAATGGCTATTCAGCTCTGAAAGGAGCCCCCCTCTCGGTGGAAAGGGTATACTTGCGTCCCCAAGAGGAAAGGTTTGTTTCCAACCTGGCAGAAGCAATGTCGAAATATCAGAGAACCCCGGAAAGTTAGACACCTGACGCAGGAAACCGCCACGTGCATGAAGGCCACCATCGAGGTGTTGGTCCCCGCTCAAGGAGCCTACGTTCGGTCAGCGGGTGAACACGCAAAGCACTGATGGTTTGGTTTTATGTTGTAATTGCGAAAACCCAAACCAATTCAGTCCTACCTATAGGCCCCAGAGTAGTTCCTTTTTTGGATTACCTTATAGGATTCTAAATATCAACCACAAAACGGAACTACTATCGGGCCTATATTGTAAGTCCCGCATCCCTATCTGAAGTCTGAACCTGCTGGATAGCACGACTCGGTAACAAGGAATCCTTTGCTCATGCCATATGATGCGAGTTCCTGCTGCTGACTATCGTGGCTGTTCCCGCTACACTGCCGCACTCCCGGTGCCGTTGCTACTGCACTGTTGATACACAATCGTTGCTCGTCCGTCAACCGACAACCCACATTGGCGTCCTCAGATCTACTGGCTGAGTTTGTATGGTGCAGCATTGTAGCACTTGCTGGAGTTGGCTGGGGTAAACATACCCGACCCACAACTGGACACCCTAAACTCAAAAACCGCGTTTCCTCTCGGCTCCAACTTCAAACACGAAAGAAGCACGCGCGCACACACACACAAACAAACACACACAGACACAGGCACACAGACACACGAAGACTCACACGCGCACGAAATCCAAATGCCGAACCCTAAACCCCATGTAAACCTTACACCCTGCCCTGAACCCTACGTTTGAGTTTCTGGATAACAAGCTTGCGATACGAAGCCCCAGCGCCGAAATAGTGTGTGCTCGAGCCCACGCATACACATGATAAACACCTTATAATCCATATGGGAGTTTCCAAAATAGGGGACCCTAATCTAGTACCCTAAATAGTAGGATCCTTATAATAAGGACCCCAAAAAAAGGTACCCCCAATTTTTGGAAACCCCCATATGTATACATCTGAGTCGCTCGTAGTCTGCTGCCTTTTGCCTGCCTCTCGGCCCAATCCCTTCCTCTGAGCCTCTGAGATCCTCTGAGTATAAGACACGTCAGAAAAATCCTGCATCAGCTAGGAAGAAGCACCCGGCAGCACTATTGATGGCACCGCAACCCTCACACGGACTTGAATGCATGCTACAAAAACATACATGAAGACCCAAGCACATCCAAATGAACTTATGAGTTTGCAATCGGCTGTTCACATAGGTCTTTGAACTCGGCACGTAAAGTTCATTCTTCACCCGCTCCTGCCTCCGGACTTGCCAAGCTCTTCACGTGCGGCCCGGTTTTGCAAGTCTCTTACTCTTTGGAGCCAGCACGGCGGGTGCACGAACGAATCCGGATTGACACTCAACCCCATGAACCCTAAAGTTAGCCCATAAGCCCAAAGTCTACAGTCCAAGGTCCTGAGCAATCGTACACCCTAAACCCTGGAGCACAACACTCTGAAGCCTAGCACGCTAGAGCGCATGCAGATTGGGAGTGGGGGGGTGGGGGCGGGGCCGAAAATGGTGGTTGCGGGGGGGGGGGGGGGGGCCATATGCTATATATATATATATATATATATATATATTTATATATATATATATATATATAAAAATATATATACATATGTATGTATGTGTGTGTGTGTGTGTGCGTGTCTGTCTCTGTCTCTGTCTCTGTCTCTGTCTCTGTCTCTGTCTCTGTCTCTGTCTCTGTCTCTGTCTCTGTCTCTCTCTCTCTCTCTCTCTCTCTCTCTCTCTCTGTGTCTGTATGTATGTATATAATATAATATAATATAACTATATATATATATATATATATATATATGTAAATATATGTATCTCTTTTCTCTCCCTCTCTATACATGTATGCTTTTTTCTATGTATATCTTGATATACCGTTTTGTATATGCACATGTTTGTATGTGTATGTATATAAGTGGAGCCTCAGCCAGAAGGATCCCATTCCGGCTTGATGACGGATGATGCACGGCCCCGGCAAGTAAATCGTTGTTTTCAATGAGACTCATAGCAGTGCTCCTAAGACTGCCCTTTTCAATGCCCAAGCTCAAGGAAGTCCAGACTTTCTAGGATGGACCAAACAATCATGGCCACAAAGTTTATAAGGGCATCTAAGATTTAAGAATGCTCGGGCCTTTCAGGCGAAGCGACTGATGCATCAGGGGGCGATGACTGAGAGGGCTTGGTTCAGGGTGTTCAGATATCGGGTTCAGGGTTTCAAAGCTTGAGGTTGTGGTTTTGAGGGTATGGGAAAACGAAGAAAGCTTTTGTTGAGGGTCCAGGCAGACCTCAGAATCCTGACTTATCCCTGAGGGCGCCTTCCAGTACCCTACAGAATTTACTAGGATTTAGCCATGGATACTTGAAGCATTAGGATATACGGTCACGATGACCCAAAAGCTAATGAAGGCACTCGGCTACCGCGCAACTCGACAGTAAATTGGCCACGTTTAGACTAGCCAGAAAACGTGCAGCTGTTCGATGCAGCATTTTGGGTGGGAATTTCGGCCAACGGTTCAGGCTCAGGGTGTGGATTTAGTGACTTTAGTGCGGAGACTGGCTCTGCTTAGGGTAGCGGCTAAGGGTTTATGATAGGATATTTTATTTGCCTTGGGTGTGGGGTTCAACCACCGGCGTAGGGTTTGGGGATAATTCTCACCCACAAACTCTTCCGTATCCTCCACTACCCACACCCTCGTGCTCCAGTAGGTTACTACTTGTATCCCGATACCCTACAGACTAGTAGGTTCTGGCCCCTTAATAACAGGGTGTAACCCTTAAAACAGTTTTTGGATCCCCAGGTAGCAATATAGTATGTAGCCCAGAAATCCATGATTGAGCCCTTGAAGGACAGCTAGAGCCTCGCTGTGCCCCGCTTGCGCGGAGGCTCGAAGCGCCTAGGACGGCTAGGACGTGATGCTTGGGTTAAGGGATTATATAGAGGTTTAGGGTTTAAGGCTTTAGGATTTGCGGCTTAGACCTGAGAGATGTGGGCTTGGGCTTGGGGCTTCTAAGCCTTCAGCCTTGAAGCCTAAAATGCTAGATGTTCGAAAGACCTAGCCTGGACATACAAGGTGAAAAGTCTGGGGCCCCCAGAACCAAGCAACAGTAACGATTTTCTGTCCGTAACGCCCGGCCTTCTGCTGCCATAGACAATGCAAGCCGCTCGAATATTTTTGGGAACCAAACCGGACACTGCTTCTACTACTTGTGGTGTATCATGGGGAACTAAAGGTTAACCTGTTTAAGGGTATCTAGGGGTTATATAGGGACTAGACTACCCAAAAAAGGATAAAGGTTACCTACTCTACTACTAGGTTCTAGAGAGGGACCTCCCGGGTCTCCTAGGCGTGCTTCTCCAGGAATCCAAACACTGCAGCCGGTCGCCCCAAGCCGTACGATACTCTACTTTCGGGCTGAATATCCCGGCCCTATCAGTGTCATATGACCTCCTTAATTATGGTAGGATTATATAAACCCCAAGGGGTGGAAGGTTATTACTTACTCAGCTACTAGTCTAAGACTTTAGGAAGCCTGCAGGGGCCGGGGCGTAACACAAAGGAGCACATAAATGTCTAAGCTTTGTGGATCACCTAACTTTTCGGAGTGATCGACCTTGCTGAGGATGGATTCATGGTCCCTTCGGCGCACAATTGCACAGGTCGTTAAGAACTGGCTACGGGAACATATCCGCACACAGTGTCTGGATCAGGCACTGCAATTCCGTCTAAACTCCGCCGCCAAGATTAAGGTTGACAGAGCAACCCAGAAAGTCCCGCCGTGTCCTTGCTGTCGAGTGTTCTTTTTATCATGTTTAATGAAGACAAGAAACCTTGCGCATGTAGAGCCGCATAAAACCGACATCAACAAGGAAGCCAATGCTGAACCATGAACAAACTCTGCATCTAGTACTACTGCCAACTGATGATCGACAAGGCAACACACAGGAAAGAAGAATCATCGATTGCTATGAAGGTCTCTGCTAAATCCGACAAAACCTCCACCGCCCCCGTCTCGAGGCCTCATCAGCATTGGCCCACTCTGGGGCGCGCTCCTCCTTGTCCCAGGTCTTTCTTTGAGCTGGAGCATATAGGTCTGGGTTTACCATTCCGTCTGCAGGATTCTGGGTCCTCCCGACGTCCGCTTACTTTCCCTTAGGGGCCTTGAGCCTTGAGGCGGACGGTCGATGCCTAAACCCATCTACCCAGGGGCTCCATAGTAGTTCCTTTTTGTAGTTCATATTTAGAATCCTATAAGGTAATCCCAAAAAGGAACTACCATGGATCCTGTGGGTAGACACGCAACTCGGATGCACGAAATGGAGCCTCAGGATACCGGATTTACATGAGACAATCGTGTTGGCAAGCAATTGCTGTTCATGTGCAGGGTAACAGTCTGTAGAACGAAAATACTCTTGCAGCTGCATGCGAACTTCGAAGTCGAGCATTGCGGCCAGATGCTGTGCGAAAAATCACATACAAACCACAGCACACACAAAAGATGATAGGCCGATGAGCAGATGTAGCTTCAAATACCAGGCTAAAAAGAAACTGCCGTTGTTGCCTAACCCACCCTTGGCGTGAAGGCGCCTGCGATTCGGATGCGCTGGTAGCGCCTCCCTGCACATGCAGAGAGATAGTTTCGGACAAGTGTTGCTTTGATGTGTCAAGCTATGTTGAACACGAAAGCTGCATTGCGCATGCATGCAGCCCCAGCAACAACAAGGCAGAATACTTCACATCCTGTGCAAGTGGGGTGCTGTCGGCATAGAACAACCCAGAGACTCCAATATCCCTTAATTAAGGAATATACCTTAAATTATATAATGGATCCTACCAGAATTTCGGGAATCTTCCTGAATTAAGGGACATTGGAGTCTCTGGGAACCTACACAAGCTGAGCAGCAAAGCGAGCAAAGAAGGCCGAGGCTTCGCCAGCGTGGTCTCGCAAGCCAGATCTCTGACCTGGGGATGAAAGCTTTGACGTTTTTCCCCCCTACCTAGCAAGGACGAAGCCCGCATTGCAGGGGGGGTTTGACGTTTAGTTCTTAGGGTCTGGGGTTTTGCACAGGGTCGAGGGCCTGAACATGTGGGAAAGTAGGACTTATATAGGATTTTTACATATTGAGGGTTAGAGAAACGTGGGCATCGATGCGAGTTTGCGAATCCTTGGCTGCACTGTCTTTATGCACTTTCTTCCTTTGATTTGTGTAGTTTCTGGGTTTGAAAAGAAAGAAACTACGAAAAGGTGGGTTCTGGTAGTCCCTAAACCCGAAACCCTGGTAGTTTAGGGAAACACGATGATGAAGAATCTTCTTTCGAGGCTGAGGGTTTACCTCAGCCACCCAACTACCCTCCAATATGCCCCAAAGACGCACGATGCAAGGGTATAAGGACTCTATTAATGGGGCTCTAAGGAATCTGTTCAGGGGCTCTGAGGACTCTATTAAGGGGGCTATATTATCATGACTCTATTAAGGGGGCCCTGGAAAGGTCCTGGTGAGGTTTCAGCTTAGGATGCAGCGGTTTTGCGAAGCTCTGGGGATCTGAAAGTTTGTGGCGTGGGATCTCGGGACTCCAGGCTTTGTGGGAGGCGTGGTTTGGAGCTTTGAGGGCAAGCTCCCTTGTCTGTCTGGTGCGTAGTATAGCAAATGGGGGAATGGATCCCCGTAGTCCCTGGTTACCTAGAGGCTCCATAGTAGTTCCTTTTTGGGGCTCATATTTAGAATCCTATTAGGTAACCCCAAAAAGGAACTACTATGGAGCTATATGGTTGGGAGCTTTGAGGGCAAGCGCCGTTGCGACGCACATAGGCCCCTAGGTCCCAAGCTTAAGGCTGCAGGGCTTGGTTTGGGATACAGGGTAAAAGGGTGCCAAAAGGAAACGGCAGTAGAGGCGCTTGCCATGAAAGCGTTCGGTGCAGCAGCTTTGTGGCGTTGATTATGCCCAATAGCGACCCAACAACATGCGATGACATAATGTAGCATTCGAGAATAATACCCAAACATGACAGGGGCATCAAAAATGCACTGCACAGCAGCAAGAGGAGCCTCGCTCTATAACACGCGCCCTTAGCCAAAACAGCTGCACCCGCAAGAGGATCTAAACTAAAGCTTTTATGCCACGATCATCGGTCAGAAATTCAACAATGCAGTCGGGCCAATCCGATAGATCAACGTACATTCTGAGTTTAAACTCGCAACAAGTTGACATAGAAGAGCCAACGCCAATGGACCCGCCTGCCTGATTTTTTGTTCATGTTGACCGCCGGTAGCTACTTATGAACTATAGGATCCACGTTGCTATGGCTTCGTGCCCACCGTGGGAGTGTTCCTGCCTGCCGCATCTTGCCTCTGCAATCCAGCAGGATGCCCACCGAGAAAAACTACCAAACGATCTAAGTATTTGATGTCCCCGGCGCAGGTTGGGCTTCACCATTCACGGTAGCAGATGCTGCTACAAGTGGCAAACTCTTGTCATAGATTCCCGCTGCCGGGTTCCATGATTGTCTGCTCTTCTCATACCACTCCACAAGTTTTCTGCACATTAGCGGTCCGCAGCCGTTACCAAGATGAAATCGGTCATCGGATACGTCTTTTTCTTCAAACTCTGTGAGCTTATCTTCCAGAAAGAATATGCTGGGTTCGTTCGCGAAGACCTCGCGAATCAACTGGGTATTCGCATCGACAATCGAGTAGGCATTTTTGCTGGCGTCCGTCGCCTCCGCGTTGTCGTAAGTGGCAGTCAACATGTCAATGTTGAGCATCACGAAGACACATTCCTCTATGGTTGAGGAATACTGTTTCCAACGCAAGAGGTTATCGCGCATCCGCGAAGCTGTATCCCGCGAGATCGAGTGGGCAGTGATGCTTCCGTGATAAAAGTCTGACCAATCATTCCCAGCAACCACGATCATCAAACACTTGCACTCTTCACACGGACTTTTGGAATGATCTGTCCATTGCTCATCTCGCACCGCATAGTACACGAAGTTTTCCGCTGAGTCGAAGATCCTAGAGTATCGCTTCGCTTCCTTCGACCGAGGGTGCATGCCTAGTCTTAAGCCACAGAAGGCGCCATTTCTCGAATCCGGGATGCCGATTGAGGTGAGGTCAAACCTTTTATTCGGCTTCCCGTTACGTAGCCCCATGGAGTCAAAGACCACGGCTGTAGTCTGCAAGGGAAGCGCCATCTCGAACTTAAGGCTTCTAGCTCCTCAGTTGTCGATTCTGATGCTTCTACCTCCTCTCTTTGGATTGTGATTATGGAATGAACCGAGCTACCATCTACCAGTTTACTTCTTGCTGCCAATTTCCGATGATCTTGTTGTGTCCAGAGATTCTTCTGACCGACGGATCCGTAATTTTGACCATGCTCCCGGTGTATACAGAAGACCCCTGCCTGGTGTGCCATCTGCTTTTCTTGACAAGCATCGCCGTGCAATGGTCTGGGCAGCTAGCAGCACCGATACCCACCTACAAGGGACACACAGGCACAAACAATAGAATCCACACCTCAATCCCAACTGCAATACTGTAAACGCTGTAAAATGCAAACCACGATGAAGTATGACCCCTTTAGGACTCCTAAGACGCTCAACCCACTCATATGCGGGTTTCCGAAAACAGGGGACCCGTAGTACCCTAAATAGTAGGATCCTCATGATAAGGACCCCAAAGTAAGGCACCCTTGATTTTAGGAAACTTCCGTGTATATGTATATATATATATATATGTATATACACACCAAGTTAAGGCACCTGAAGTCAGAAGTGCAAGCAAGCCTAAACCTGGCAACGCGGAACCCTCTTATTTATCAGCAACCAAAAAAGAGAAAAAGTAGCCGGGATGGCCAGTTAGGGTTGACACCAAAACGCAAATAACTACCTTTTGAAAACTTATATGGATGGTTGTCAAAATTAGGGTCCCTTTTTGGGTCTCTATTATAATACGGCACCTATTATTTAGGGTACCCAAAAAGGGACCAGAATTTTGATAACCACCCATAGAAAGGACTTTGAGAAGGGAAGTCATGATGAATTGCTTTGAGGATGCCCCTCAAACCCAAAACCCTAAGGCCCTAAACCTTTAAATCTCTAAACCCAGAACCCTTAAACCTTTAAACTCTAAATCCTGAACCCTAAACCCTTAAAGCCCTATCCCTCAACCCGGCCCGAAACACCACCCTCCAAAAAAAAACGCTGCTCCCGAGACCCGAGCTCTGGCGACTGACGGGCCGCGGCATGCAACATGCGAGGCCTGGTGGGGAGATAGAGTTGCGGGCTTATTAGGATCTGGGGTGTAAGGCTCAGGGTTCAGGGTTATAAGTTATAAGGGCTTAGGTTCAATTAAGTCTAAGTTTAGGGCTTAGGGTAAATTAGGGTTTAAGAGTTTCGGGTTGAATTGTAAGGTTCAAGGTTTAGGGCTGCGGGTTTATAAGGTTTACAGGGTTTAGGAGGTAGCTAGGGTGTAGGGTGTCGGAGGCAGGGATAAGGGCTCTTTTTTGTGGGGTTTGCGGTCGGCTGCGTGCAGGGTTAAGGCGGTTAAGGGTTAGAGGGGCGTGCTATGGTTGGGAGCAGGGAAGCGGCTGTGGTGTTCAGGCTTGGCGGTGTTAGTCAATACGGTGTTAATCTTTGCGAGCTCCGGGGTCGCTGTGTTTGCGCTTGAGGGTTTGTTAAGGCTTGGGGCTTGGGGTTTCCGGATCTTCAGAGAGGTGTGGTATCATCTCAGATCGAGAGCTGTTGGAGTCCATTTTTCAACTCTAAACCCTCACCCTACACCCCAAACCATGAACTCTAAACCCTAAACTCTAAACCGTAAACCCTAAACTCTAAACCCTTAAACCCTACACCCGGAACCTGTTAGGGTTCATGCCGGACGCAGGCTAAAGGGCCCCATAGCGGAAAGCTTGAAACAACAAGGCACCCGAAGAAGCCGCCTTACGAGTGGAGGAACCCTAGGAATACGGTTGATGATATAAATCCTGCATGACCCATAATAAGGAATATGCCATAATTCCCATAGTTTAGGGTCCTTAAGGTAATGCAGGATTTATATCATCAACCGTAGCAGCGCTGTGTCTACAGACCATAATTAATGAAAAAAATAATCAAACCCCTAAAACCGAAACCTTACAACGTGCGGGCCTCTCTGGGGCAGCCAGCCGATCGGCAACGGCCGGGCAAAGCTAAAGGTATTCAGCAAACGTCGTTGTACTCGAAGTATGTAGGCTTAATAACTACCATAGGGGTTGGGGTCATAATAATTATATGTAGTAGCATACTCATTTCGACCTCTACCGTAGACACCCGGTTTGGGGGTCGAAACGATGAAGGCTGCAATATGCTGTAGGATTTCAGGGTTGAGGATGTCAGATTTCTACTTTTTCAGTGTTTTAACTATTTTGGATTTTGGGCCTGGGGCTTAGTGGCTTGGAGTTGGGGGTATGAGGGCGTCGAGGGCTTCGAGACTCTGCGGCCAAAGGATATAGACTGAGCTTCGGGGATGGGTTTGCGGCTTCGCGATTGGGGTTTACAGAGTTTATAGGGCTTTTGAAATGTTTAGGCTTGGGCTTGCTCCCTACCTTTCCCACGGACTTTACCTCCGGCCCGAGGCGACAATGCATGTTCTGTGACGTTCACCAGTACGTGAAAAGCTGGCTTACGCTGGAACTTTTAAACCGCAGGCCCTGAACTTATATAAACAGCGACGATGACCTGTAACTTGCAACCGTACTGGGATCCTTAGACCCTACAGTCAGACTGGGGCCATAATTATAATTTGAATGGAGTTTTGGGGCCCGTTCTACCGTCTCAAAGAGCAAGCGCAACAACCCCGAGAGCGGAAACCCAGAGAGCTGTAGATCGTCAGAGCTCAAGCTCATGCAGCCTAACATTATAAAAACCCCTAAACTCTAGTATAATAGTACGAGCGATTATAAACCCTAACCTTCTTGTAGTATTACTTTTGAACCCCCAATATAGATCACTGTAGAAGCGCGAGCCCTCAAGCCTCAGGTCTGTCCCTTGTGACGCACTGCCACATGCGTGGCTATGCACACATATACATCGAACGTATGTATGAGACTGAACGGACAGCTAAATGCCGACAAGATGCTTGCATGTGCATATAACCTATCTATCCAACAGGTGCCTATATACATACACTGGGCACCCAAACGAAACACTGTGGCATGACTCAGGACAGCAACGCAGCTGGCTAATCGTAATTCTGGACTGTCTTCCCTCCGTATTCCCGAGCCCTTGAAGAGTCAGCCCCCATCGTTTTTCAATGCGGAGCGCCTTGTAAATTCGTGTGCTGCGCAGGTGTCGTATCCAGCGGTTAAGGCAGCAATACAACGCGTTGAGTTTTAGCTGGAGAGCTTGGGCAAAATAGTATGATACCAGTACAGCACCAATAACATATTGAGATACAGCAACATTGAAACAAGACTTCGGAAGTGACAGTACATGTCTTGATCCTGAGTTACAGTGATAGCAGAGTAGAGTGTTAGAGCAACGGCATGATGGACTTCTACGATACAGCAATATCACAACATGTAGGAACGCTGCAAGAACCGTATAATGTAACAACATGACAAGCGAGGAGAAGACAATATGGCAACAAGATGGCATGACAATATAACCACGGTACTAGGTAACAAAAACAGATGCATACATCTGCAGCATAACCAACTACCACAGTACTGAAACATATACATGATGATGATCATGCTGCTGCTGAAGATGATGATGATGACGATGATGATGATGATGAGAATATGCATTTTAGCGATACGCAACAGACGTAAACATCATCGCCATAGGAACAGTAGGAAACCAATGCTGACAGACAGATGATGTAGGAATTGGGTGTAAGCCTCAGGACTTCAGGTTTAAGGCTTACATAAGGTTTAGGGTTTAAGGCTGAAGGCATCCTGCCTCGACACGGATGACAGTCGACTTCCAAATTCATCCGAAGTACAGTTGCAGCTCCCTGCTGGCGAAATGTCCCTTGAAACTGCCTGTGCCTGAAGCCGTCGGCGAAACCCGACATGATCTTTCTAGTTCAGAACCTAGGCAATCTACGAACTTGCTTAAACTGCCAAGGTTCCTGTACCATCAACGGTTTGGCCCGCAATGTACCCCGAAAATGTTGAGTCGCTGGCCCAAACCATAATATCATGACATGATTGTCGAAACTGGGGCTGGAGGTTTCATTTTTTGTTTAGGATAGATGGATGGATGAATGGATGGGTGGGTGGGTTATCGTTTAGGGCTTCGGCTGTCCGGCCCATAGTAGGGGTCAGACGAATAAGCCCCTGCAGCTCTTCGAAAGATGGCTTTGGTGTTTAGATTCCCTCACTTCGATTTCACAACTTGCTTATGATTCGCGGTTTGGGACTTCTGGGTTGGGTTGGGGGCATTGGGATCAGGTTTCGTGCTTTTGTGTGTGTTTCTGTGGATTCGTATTCGGGCTCGGGCGGCCACGGCTCGACATGACGGCTGCACCCAGTGTCAACAGCATACTATAGGGGCCTTAATAATTAGAATAGGCTTTTGGGGCCCATTATACTATCATGATAATAAGGAACCCCCGAAATATTTTCTGGTACTTATTAAGGCCCGTATATTACTTTCCCCACACCAACAAAACATCGACCTAACACTTGCAGACGTAGCACTACAGTAGACGTAGCCACAAAGCTTGGTATTGGAGAACCAAAGCAACACTACGCCCAAACAAACCCGGGCTCTAGGATGTTCAGCTTGGCAGACTCAAACTCTAACCCCCCAAAACCCTACATCCTAAAGCCGGAAACCGTGCGGGTCTAAGGACTTGCGGTTTGGGGTTCGGAGGGAGCTTCTCAAATCTGGTTTACGCTTCTCGATTTGACTTCGATCTGGTCTAGACCTAAGAGTAACCTAGGAATACGAAGGGTGCCCGTTTTGGGGTTGAAGCGGGTTATAAGGGAACCTGCACCCTACAAAAAGAGAATGAGGGCCTACTCTGGGTCCTAGTGGTTCAGGGTGCTTTAGGGAGCTGAGATCTCACAGGGCTCTTGCTCTTGACTCCCGAAAGCCTGAACAGAGTCTCGCTGAAATTCCCTGCGGGACAAGCCGTAAGCAGATCAGCTGCAGCGCTGAAGCAGACCCTGAGCGTTCAAAGCTGCTAAATATACGACACCAACTGC